AAGGAAAACGTAAAAGACCATGTCCTTCGCGAGAGCACAAACCCGCCATGGCGCGATTGACAAAAATGGCAGCGGTCGCAGCGACCTGGCGAAGGTATGGCTCCCTTGTCGCTCACTTTCAAGTCGCGGCAGTATTACTACCGCTGTGAATATGGGTGATACCATCTCGTTTGGGGACAGAATTTTTCGAGAATCTAGTCGCGACCGACCCTTTGAGGGCTCATTACTACACCGTTGCAAAAACCTTGTTACCACTGACCATCGCAAAGTCAGTGACTGAAAATTAGAGTGGAAACAACGGGACACAAAGAAGGGAAAGGATAACACACGCAATCACCTACGCCCCGAGGGCATTTGGACCGGTAATTTGCATATTTATGAAACCCCGCTCAGAGAATGTTAAATCATAGTTCTGTGCTCCATCCATACGCCCTTGCATCATGTACCTTTCTTTGAAAAGAGGGCACGACCCAAAGACATTTCTAATAAGCTCAGAGAGCTCCGAGTGCGAAAGGAATGGAAAATTAAAATCAGAATGGCAACTATGAACTGCGGCTATGAGGGTTTGGGAACGTGTTGTACAAAAGGGGCACAAATTGAAAGAAATCTCAGCGCTGGCTGTTGGAGACACAGAGAACGAAGTGATTAGTGCATGCGTTGAAGATGGTGCCATGACCACGGAGTTTAGAAAGAGCACCTATGACTAACGTGCTGAGTCTATATGCACACAAGGAGCTTTTTAAAACCGGTGGTACGTACGATGTAGGACGTTTGCACGTGTTAAGGCTAGAATCACGTTCTAGGGACTTTTCAAAAACTATTCAAAAAGGCATAACCTAACCTTATGTGGACAAGCCCCACGTAACCAACAACAAGTGGAAACCGTTTTTGAAAGGTTCTCGTATTGCGATGGAACAAGCGTTTAATGTGTAGACAACGACAGATACGATAAACAGCTGACCCTCATGCAATCATGGTCAACTTACTGATGCATCGAATACATGAAGACTTCTTGTAACCTGTTTTCGTATCGACGCTCGATGATTACTGATCCTTTTACGGAATTTCAAAACCATGCGCTGGAACACAAACACAGGTGAGACAAGCACAAGACAGCTCAGTGATGGGGCTAAGCATGCAAGCCAGCCGCCTCTACGGCCGGTGTCATACTTTGCGAGTCCAGGAAATCGCTGGCGAATCGCGGTGTAGGAGTGATTCACCAGTAGTCCGTACGATACGCCAGCGGTTCGAACGATGTACCAGTGATATGACAGTGTCCGGAATTGGTTCCCTCTTATTCGCACATTCACTCTCGCCACATTCCCGGGCTTTTCTGCCCTCACGCTCTCGCTGTCATGAGCGCGGAAAAGTAGCGAGAGAGAACGTGCGAACGGGAGAGGGCTCCCACCACTTTCAAGCACTGTCAAGTCCGCTAGTACATCGTTCGAACCGCTGGTGCATCGCTCTCGAGATTCGCTGGATTCGCGAAGTCTGACACCGTCCTACACATTCTTGTATGCGACATCAAAAGGTCCGCTTTCCTACTCTCATGAAATGGGGAAAATTGCTTTAGAAGCGCTCAAAAACTAACGTTCACATCTCACACCACATGCTAACTTTGGTGATCAAAGCGAGTATGATGAAGCAATCTAATATCCACCTATGCTGGAGATTTTGGCGACAACTGTCACTAATCTTTTTCAAAGTCTGGCGTAGGCTTTGTTAGTTCAGGGTAAGCCACCTCAAGG